ACGCGCTGCAGCGCATGGAAATTTTGCCAAATAAAACAGAAAAACTAAAAACTGGCATAAAAAAGCTTCAATCGTCACATCCGGTATTCCACCGCCCCCCTCTCTCCCTCTCTCTCTCTCTAAAAAACACAACACATGTGACTGTAACGAACAACAACACATCACCAAACTATAATCATACGAACTTATTTGTGGGTTTTTTTTTTATCCTTTACATGTTTCATCAATGGTGTCGAACAGATATGTATCGTATATGTATCGTATTTCATCAGTTTAAGGATGAAGAAAAGCAATATATGTTGGAGTATTTATCTTGGCAAATAAAAGAATTCAAAATAAAGCTGACCAGTCAATAGGAGCTGCACGATGTGCTGCTAGTGTGTTTACTTGGTCCTTAGCTATGCATGTGTATCTAGCTACTGCATGTGGGTTTACCTAGTCTTAGCTTTTTGTTACTTAGCTTATTCTGTTCCTATTTTCTAATCATTTAGTTATTTCCTTCCCTGTATTTAAAGCCACTTTGGCCTCATGAATAAAGCATTCAATTCGTGTGAGCAAATATACCGATTGTTAACATATCAATTTGGTATCAGAGCAAATTCTATCACAAAAGAGAGTAGCAATGATGAATGATGATAAGGTGAAGGTACATGTCTTTGACGGCCACTATGAACACTGGAGTGAGATGATGGAAAATTTGTTGCGTGCAAAACAAGTGTGGAATCTAATCGATCCAGAAATTAGAGAGTCAGTCGTCGGAATTGCCCAAAGCGAAGCAGAGAAGAAGAAGTTGGAGGAATTACGAATGAAGGATCTGCAGGTCAAGCACTACCTGTATCAGGCAATCGATCGAGTCACTTTCGAGTAGATCTTGGATAGAAAGACTTCAAAGTCGGTGTGGGACTCCATGAAACAAAGATTCGCAGGGAATGAAAGAGTAAAGAGGTCTATGCTGCAGAAACTTTGAAGGGATTTTGAAGTTCTCGAGATGAAGACCAGTGAAACCATCTCTGAGTACTTTGGTAGGGTCTTGGCAATTTCGAACCAGATGAGAAGCAATGGGGAATTGGTAGCTGATGTCAAAATTGTCGAAAAGATCCTTAGAACTCTAGCTGACAAATACATGTATGTGGTGGTTTCAATTGAAGAGTCAATAAACGTTCAAGAAATGTCCATTGAAGAACTGCAGAGCACCTTGGTGGTCCACGAGCAGAAATTCAAAAGGGTTGAAAGGGAAGACGATCAAGCATTGAAGGTTGAAATTGGACTCAGTCCAAATGGTAGTCCAAATGGTCTTGGAAGAGGTAGAGGTCGGTCCAACAGTAGAGGAAGAGGAAGGGGACGAGGGCGGTTGTCATTCAACAAAGAAACGATATAATGTTACAATTGCCACAAGTTGGTACACTATTCCTATGAATGCCCTCACCCTAAGGAAGCAAACTATGTTGGGTTTGATGATAAGGAAGAAGTCATGCTCATGGCAGAAATAAATGTAGAAAAGACTGCACTCATGGCAGATTCAAGTGAGGAGAACAAAGGCATGTTGTGGTTTTTGGATTCAGGTTGTTCTAATCACATGTGTGGAAACAAGGACAGGTTCATTAATCTTGACTCTGATTTCTCAAACTCTGTTAAGTTGGGAAATAACACACGTATGATGGTAGTTGGAAAAGTAAGTGTAAGGTTGTTCCTGAATGGATCAACATACGTGATTAATGATGTGTACTATGTCCCAGACCTCAAGAATAATCTTCTCAGCATAGGGCAACTTCAGCAAAAGGGATTATCCTTTCTTTTTCAATTGGATGTCTGTAAAGTGTTTCATCAAGATAAAGGCCTGATTTTTCAAAGCTATATGAGCACAAATCGAATGTTCCCAATCAGTGAGGAGTTAGATGTTGTCAATGAACAAAAGACAGAAGGATGCATGTATACTAGTGATGAAGGTAATGCTAAACTATGGCATGAAAGGATGGGGCATCTCAACAATACAAGCATGGAGAAACTTCAAGTGAAGAGTATGGTTCGTGACCTTCCCAAGTTTCCTATCAATAAAACTATGTGTGGAGATTGCATGGTAGGAAAGCATGCCAAAAAGGCCATCCCAAAGACAAGCAACTGGAGAGCAACAGAACCCCTGGAGCTAATACATTCGGATATCTGTGGGCCAATAACCCCTGCATCTCATACTGGAAATAGGTACTTTCTAAGCTTCATTGATGATTACAGTCGCAAGGGTTGGGTGTATTTTCTGACAGAGAAATCTCAAGTCCTCGAAAGCTTTAAGCAGTTCAAAAGGAGAGTTGAAACTAAAACAGGGAAGGTTGTTAAAGCTCTTAGAACAGATAGAGGTGGAGAATACCTATCAGATGCATTTAAAGCGTTTTGCTCAGAACATGGCATTAAGAGACAACTCACAACCAGTTTCTCACCTCAGCAAAACGGGATTGCTGAAAGAAAAAATCGAACAGTTATCAACATGGTAGTGTCGATGATAGCAGCCAAACACATGCCAAAGAAGTTTTGGGGAGAGGCAACACTGTGGAGTTTTTATGTTTTGAACAAATGTCCAACAAAATCTCTTTCAAACATGACCCCTCAAGAAGCTTGGAGTGGAATCAAGCCAACAGTTCATCATTTTCGTGTTTGGGGATGCCTAGCTCATGTGCACATTCCTAAACAAAAAAGAACTAAACTTGATGATAAAAGATTTGTTTTTATTCTAACATGAGTTAGTGAAGAATCAAAGGCGTATAGGCTGATTGATCCACATACACTAAAGGTGATTGTAAGCAAGGATGTTGTTTTTGAAGAACACAAGTCCTGGAACTGGAATCAAACAAAAGAAGGTGAAGATGAGAAAGAAATCATGCGGGGTGATTATGACTTTCTTGAAGATGATTATGAGTTCGTGAATAATCATCATCAATATCAAATTAATGAAGATTGGCAAGATGAGAACATTGAAGATTCCAGTCCTGTGATTGCTGATTCTGGTACTATCAGTCCAACAATCGGGGAAGGAAGGCCACAAAGGTTAAGAAGACCTCCCACTTACCTAAATAACTATTTTGCAGGTGATGATCTAGAATTAAACTCTGATGAAGATGAATTGAACATCACTGATCTCATCCACCAAGATCCCATTAGCTATGAAGAGACGGTTAAGGATGAGAAGTGGTAGAAGGCCATGGATCTCGAAATTCAAGCAATCGAAAAAAATCGAACCTGGCAACCGGTAGATCTGCCAAAGGGTACTAAATGTATTGGTGTTAAGTGGGTGTTCAAAACAAAACTAAATGAAAAAGGAGAGGTCGAGAAATATAAGGCAATATTGGTTGCGAGAGGGTATGGTCAAGAATACGGAGTCGACTGTGTAGAAGTCTATGCTCCAGTTGCTCGGATGGATACAATTCGATTGATGATAGCTATAGCAGCACAAAGGGGATGGAACATCTATCAGATGGATGTAAAATCGACCTTTCTCCATGGAACTTTGGAAGAAGATGTTTACGTACATCAGCCACAAGGATACATAATCAAGAACACACGAGCACAAGGTGTACAAACTTCAAAAAAGCTTTATACGGGCTTAAACAGGCCCCTAGAGCTTGGTTTAGTCGAATTGAAGCATACTTTATCAGTGAAGGTTTCACAAGAAGCAGTTCAGAACACACCTTGTTCATCAAAAGAACATCAGATGGAAAATTGTTGTTCGTAAACATATATGTCGATGATCTTCTTTATACAGGTAATGATGAACAGATGATGGAAGAGTTCAAGTGTTCAATGAAGGGTGAGTTTGAGATGACAGATCTAGGGAAGATGAGATACTTCTTGGGAATAGAAGTGTTACAAACCACAATTGGAATTCATGTCTCACAACAAAAATATGCAGTTGAAATTCTTAGTCGTTTTAACAAGCTAAATTGCAATGCATTAATAAATCCAATTGTTCCTGGGTGTAAGTTGAAACTGGAAGAAGGCGACCTTGTTGATGAGACCATGTTCAAGAGCTTGGTGGGAAGCCTGATGTACATCACCACCACTAGACCGGATATTCAATTTGTGACAAGTTACATTATCCGCTTTATGTCTAAGTCAACCAACCTTCACTTTGCAGCTGCAAAGAGGGTGCTACGATACCTTCAAGGAACCTTAGACTATGGCATCTGGTACAAAAGAGGAGGAAGTGGGAGAATGGAAGTGTTCACAGATAGTGACTTCGTTGGAGATTGGAATGACCGGAAGAGTACGTCCGGATATTTGGTACTGTGGGATGGAGCTGCAATCACTTGGTCATCAAAGAAACAGAGAATTGTTGCTCTGTCTTCCACAGAAGCTGAGTATGTTGCAGCAACAGCCTGTGCATGTCAAGTTGTTTGGCTTCAAGGAATTCTTGAAGAACTTGGAGCAAAGCAAGAAGGAAGCACAGTGATCAAATGTGATAATACCTCAACAATTAAGTTGTCAAAAAACCCAGTTTTTCATGGCAGGTGCAAGCATATTAGGGTAAAATTTAATTTTCTTCGTGATTTGGTTGGAGAAGGAACAGTAGAGTTGAGGCATGTTGGAACTAAAGAACAAATGGCTGACATCTTCACTAAACCTCTGCACCGTGATATGCTTGTGAAGCTGAGAGAAAGGCTTGGAGTATGTTCATTGGAAGACAAACAAGACATGAATGTCTAGTTTGAGGGAAGGTTTGTTGGAGTATTTATATTGGCAAATAAAAGAATTCAAAATAAAGCTGACCAGTCAACAACAGCTGCACGTGTGCTGCTAGTGTGTTTACTTGGTCCTTAGCTATGCACGTGTATCTAGCTACTGCACGTGGGTTTACCTAGTCTTAGTTTTTTGTTACTTAGCTTTTTCTGTTCCTATTTTCTTGTCATTTAGTTATTTCCTTCCCTGTATTTAAAGCCACTTTGGCCTCATGAATAAAGCATTCAATTCGTGTGAGCAAATATACCAATTGTTAACATATCAATATATTCTTCATGGCTCCCACCACCGTCTTATGCTCGTGTTCTTATCTACTCGGAAACTGGAAACTCGCCAACATCGCCACCGACTTCCGCCGTTCTACTCCCTGGAACATTCATTCAAATGCCATCAGTGCCATCAGGACACAAACTCCACTTGATTTCAATCCGCACCACATATCCGATGACCTTTTAAACGCTTTACCGGTGGCGCGTGTGAAACATATCCCGCCGTGTATACCGAAATTCAGCGAGTACACGTCGTGCGAGGATGTTGACCGATCTTTAAAGTTTGACCGGGAGAGACTGGTGTATAGAGAGAGACACTGTCCGGAGAAATCGGAGGTGTTGAAGTGTAGAATTCTGGCGCCGTACGGATACCGGCAACCATTCCGGTGGTCGGGGAGCCGTGACGCGGCGTGGTATGCTAACGTGCCGCATAAGCATTTGACGGTGGAGATGGCCGGTCAGAATTGGGTGCGGTTTAAGGGCGACCGGTTTACTTTCCCCGGCGGCGGAACCATGTTCCCGAACAGCGCCGACGCCTACATTGACGATATTGGAAAATTGATCAATCTCCGGGATGGGTCGATCAGGACTGCCATCAGTGGCGGATCCAAGATAGAAATTAACCGGGGTCCATCATATTAAAAAAAATAATAATAAAATTACAACACTTTGAAATTTTAGGATATTTATAGTTTTTTTCAACAAAAAAAATTCAATGAGAGACTTTTCTTGTAAGAGTGGGTGCCATTGAGGGTGTTTCTTAGTAAAAGGAAAATTATTTAAGGGTACATATGGTAATATTATGGCTCTAATCCTCTTCCAAGTGGGGTGCTTGGACCCCACCTCTAACAAGCTGGCTCCGCCACTAACTGCCATTGATACCGGTTGTGGGGTATGTAACTCGAATCTTTTTGTTCGGATACGTTTGATAAACCTATTTTTTTAATCAATAATTATATGAAAATATTATAAAAACTTTATTTTATCAGAAAAATACGGAGTTTGGTGAAATTTGATCAGAAGTGTGATGAATTATGAGTAAGATATATATAATTTTTTGTTTAAAACTATATTTATACTTCAAGTATGACCAAATATCCCTTTTAACCAAACTTTAGGTTATACATATTGATATTTTTGAAACTTAATAATCTTATTTTTGTAAATTTTATATGTTTGATTTTGAAGTAGATAATAATCTATTTATATTCTTCTATTTAAGTACAGTTTATACTAGAGACGGCACACATTTTAATTTTAATAAACATCGTTATCTATCGCATGCCGATGTTGAGAATTATTGCCTGTTCAAAGGGTTTACCCATCATACGATTATTACGTATTTATGTAATGTTTTTTTGTGGTTGGCAAAACTGTTATTGACTGTTGTATAAAATAAATACCATGCTTAAAACATTCAATTTTTACAAAGTATATATATATATTAAAAAGTAAACATGCATATCTAAAGTACATACACTTAGATTATACTTAAACGCATGCATTTTTGGTTGTTTGTATATCCAAAATATAGTTATATACTAGTAGATATCTAAAATACATAACTATTAATATAGTTATTGATCATTTTCTCTCTATTTTTATTGTTTAATTAAATATTTAAATTTCACATAAAATCATCAAATAAAAAATAAAAATCGTAGGTAATCATGGATGTGGTAGTAGTTAGTCATGGAAAATTTAGTCAAAGTGGTTGATCTTTATTATTTCATTATTTTTAATATAAAATATACAAGTTTTATTTTTACACATATTTTAATGAGAGTAGTCGGTGAATAAATTAAATGCAGAACTGTCATTTCATAAGGTAAATTAAATATCTAAAGTATTTAGTTAATAAATTAAAATGGAAAAAAAGAATCATGAGTAAAGATCAGTGTCCATATGTCATCAATACATTATAAGGATTGTTGAGTAAATTTGGATTATAATTATACTTGATCAGTTATGAGGCTGACACATGTGCAATCAGGCTATCCAAATATCGTAGGGGTTAAAAATTAAAAAGATTTGAAAAAGTCAGGACAAAAACATGAGAGGAAAACTTAGGTACAAAATAAAAAAAAATAGAAAAAACTTAACACCCAAATCATACAAACAACAAAAATTCAGGAATAAAAAATTAAAAATATCTCATTTTTACTGTCATT